TGTAACTGTTCAGGAATTGTACGCTCCAGAGATGCCCTGGCTGTGAACACCTTCACATACATCTGCCAGTGCGAGCAAGTCACAAAGTTTACTACAGACTAAACAAGGATGTCCAGAAGCAGGAAAATCTGCCATCAGCTTTTCCCTACATATTATCCTTTAAGCTATTTTAAATGGCATCCCCCATCTTGTATAATTAGAGCCAAAGCAGCCTGAATTTTTTCATGTCCAGCTGAAATTCAGCCTTTCTGTATTGCACCAAGAGGTGGTTCATGCATTCTCTTTCCAAATTTGAGGTAGTCATAGGCTTTAGTGCTTTACCTTGTTTCTCACCCTGAGTCCCAAGGACTTTGTACAGGAAAAGGAAGGGTTATTCTTTATGGTTTATGCTTCCCACATCTTAAATACTACATGAGCTTCAACCAAATGAGTTTTACTATCTTTATTTTAATTATGTGCAATTAAATGTTCTATCAGAATTCCCTGCAGTATTTCTTCAAATTATTCTCCCCAGTTAGTGTGATGACTTTACTGACTTTCTGGAGAGCAAAACTAAAGAATAAAGAACCTAAGCAAAAGAACAAATAAATAAATAAGGCTAGTCTGAGATGTAACCTTTTCTTGATGCATGTCAAAAATAGGAATAATTTTAAAATTATTTTTTAATAATTAATTCATTAAAATTATTAAAATTTATTGAATTTTACTTCTTTTTGTGAATAAATTATCGGTGTAGTCACCAGGGATAATCTCTGGACTCCATGTTGTTTTACTGAATGCAGAAATATTGCAACAAATAATGAAGGGAAGTTGATGTATTCATATGTTGTCATTTGAAGTTGCATCTCTGTGAATATCCTCAAGTATCCTGACCCAATATAATAGGACTGAACTGAAGGAATTCCCTAAAACAGGAATTTAATCTTAACTAGGATCTCTGGAATTGACCAGGAAGTCATCACTTACTGCATGTCAACAGAATGAGATTACAGGAGAGATGTAAAATATGAACTAACCTGTAGGAAATATCTGTAATCTAGATGAAAAATAAGGCATCAGTTTTAACCAAATTCCTGTGACAAAACAAGAACAAAGCCTCTCCAGCATGTGGCACTTGCCCGTCTGTCCTTGACAGGAGAGAGGGAGAGAGAAAGCAGAGCTGTCACCTTTTCACCAGGGCAATTTACCTGCGTTCTCTGTGCCCCAAATCAACACACCAAAACTTTCCTGTTTGTCCAAGGAATAAAACACAAGCAGACTGCTATGGCAGTGCCATCAAAGAGTTCCCACATCCTCCCTCCAAGCAACTTTATGCAAATCTGAGCCCAGGGTTCTATAATTTAGCCTAATTTCTAAGCTCTTTTTACATGCTGAACCTGGTGGCATTTGGGAAAAATGCAATGTCATATTCATCCACTGTGCATTGATAGAAACTGATAGGCATGCATTAGTCTTGACAGCAAGCTGTGAATAACTGAGAGCTGTGTACAAAAAAGTTGGATCCTTGCCATAGATTAAATAGATACTGTGCATAGATTGATAGGTACAGTTTTTGTTTTTTTTTTTGAGGAACAAAAGAGAACAACAAAAAGGTGGCTTACCCAAGAACCACAAGTGGGATGAATTGGTGACAGAAGCCAGCTTAAAGAAAAAAGATAAAACCCCAACACACAACTTTGAAAGTTCCCATGTTTGTACATGCCAAATCCTGACATCTTTCCCTTGAAAGGTTGATTCATTTTATAATACATCTCTTCACAATGTCTCTGCACTTTTAGGAGTACTGATGAGGTGTCTGTGAGTTAAAACAAAAGCAGTAGGGCTGCAAATATTTTTCAGATTATTTTTAGTTGTGAGAGGGATTGATGGGATAATACTATTAAATAAAAACCCAAGAAAACCAACAGCTAAATCAGGTATCGAAACAAACTGCAATTTTGATTTTATAAAGACAAATTCTGGAAGGAATAAATGAGAAAACATGATGTTTTTGAAACACTGGCTTGCTCTCTGGGTACAGTGGAACCAAAAGAGAGAGAGGACAGTCCTCCCCTGGCAGTGCTGAGCAACAACTGAGCAAATCCTGTTCAGCCATCCATCTTCTACTGAAGAGTGATGTACAAGGCATTCTGCCCTCAAATTTGAAGGCTTCTTGTCTTCCAAAATGACCAGAAACTACTTTATCTTGCTCCAGTTCTGTAAGTTGACTCAATGACACAAGATTTTTCTCACTTTTCATATATTTATGTTTGATTTGTTGCAGACACCTTACCCCCACTACAAACCACCACAAAGTCACACTGAAGTGAAATCAAGGCAAGCACTAATGATGCCTCAGGTTTTAGCTTTTATATTTTTCAGATTCTGTGCTGCTTTAGTGCATGGGTCTGGGCTTCATATCAGGGGATGGTGAACTCTCTGCACAGAGCAGGGAGACAAAACAATTCCTTCTCCAGCTGGGGACCAAGGACAAATGATCCCAATCTCAGGTCCACGAGCACAAACAATGGTGGAATGAAGAGAGAAAAACAAGAAGGATGGGACTTTATAACCTAAAGCTATAACTGGACAATTAACTCCAATATGCAAATGGACCAGAACTTACAAAAGTGTGAGACCTTGTGACCAGTTGTCCATTTTTTGACCATTGTGGGTTCATCTTAGGTGCAGCCCTGGCTGGGCTCTTGTGCTGCCCAAGGTGGATCCATTGAGGCCTTTTAATAAATCCCTACTTTATTCTTTGACTCCATCTAGCCTCTGTTCTAGGCTAGCCTTCACAAGGCATCAGTAACAACATCACCCTGTATTCTTTAATGTAGCTGATGGTGTAAGGGCACAAGCCAGCTGGGAGATAAAAACGTGACATGGTATTCTTGGCAGTGTATCCTCACAGGAAATGTGCCAAGTCAGCTTCTGTGCCAATTGATGCCCCCATAAGTGAAATAAAATGGAAGCACATGACAAGGGCGCAGGGAACAAGTACAGGGGGCTCACACGAGGGTTATGTCTGTTTATGCTCTGGTTGCAGGGGGTTCTCTCCCTGCATCCGTTGCATTTTCCATCTCTTGTATTCCAAGAGGGGATGGAGCTGCAAGTGCCAGGGCAAACACGTTGTGTTCATTGTTGTGTTTGTGGCACAGTGAACATGCCACATTGAAGCAACACCCCTGGAGGCTCCCTGGGAGCTCTGTGTGTGCTGAGGAAAGCTGTAGCTCTGAGCTGTGGAGGGGAAGGAACTGACGCTACAGTGACTGCTCTGCAAACCGTCTGTGGGACGTTCTCTCATGATCCTCAAGGAGCTAATTGATTGCATGACATTACTTGCCTTTGTTTCTAACTGGGGGAAATGGAAGGAATGGAAAGAATAAATAATGTAAGGCTTTAAAGTGGGCTGACATCCAGAAAACATAAACACATGTGGCACTACAACACTGGGAAACATCCTCATTAAGTTTATTGCAATGTATTTTTATGCATTGTGCATTTGACCCATTATATTTATACCAGAAAGTGTGATAATTTTGTTTCCCAGATATGGGATTGCTGCAACTGCTCTGACATCATCCTGCTGTTAGAGTTCCCAAGAGTTTTAAATAGTGACTGTAGCTTTGACTTTTGAATACATCTAGTGGGCTAACACCAGAAACGGGCCTGTGGCTTGCCTGCAGCAAGAGCCATGCTCCCCCAGGAAGGTTGGGATTTTGGGAGGGACTCTTTTTCTTTGGAAAGATCTCTTGGGTTGGAAATAGTCTGGATTAAATCTATTAAGAATTTTGTCTCCCAGGTATAGCTGAGATAAAGTGTTAGTCGTACCTAAGCAACATCCATCAATAAGTTTGGGCTATGGGATGCGCAGTTTGAATTTAATTGTATATTCTTTATGGAGTTTTCAATTACAGCTCTAAATCTTAACAGATGTATTTTTGGTAACAAACCATTTTCTTTCCTGAAGAAAGTTCTCTAAGATATGCAAAAATAAGCACCCTTATTAATTTGAAAATTAAGGATGTATATCTTGGAGAAAGCCATACTTGTAGAAGTGAAATTAAACCCACTGGTAGAAGCAATGAACAACCAGGGCTGGTGGAGAGTAACCACTACACTTCCTTTCCTAGACAAGAACCAGAGCCACGGAACAAGCCCTTTGTTCCTCGTTGCTGTGAGCAGCCTTCCTCCAGTGGCGTTCCCAGCCCCAGCTGCTTCCTGTCAGATGCTGGCAGTGGGAACCAAGTGTCTTTGATCCCACCAACCCATGTGCTGGCTTCCCACCAGCTCTGCTTCTCTGTATTCCCTCCTTTCCTACACCACCCACCAGGGCTGGGGTTCCTCCCACTTCCTCACAAACCCGATACTTTAAGCCTTTCATGGCAGCGCAGCATCCGCCTGCAATCCTATAATGCTTTACCTGTTTTTTGTTCTTTCATATTATCATTCAGCTCTTATTAGGTGATAATTAAATGATCTTTCTTGCAATCCAAATGTCCAGGGAAACAGTAGCCAGCCACAGCTCACAGAAACTGGCAAAGGGATATCCTTCCTAAGTGGGCTGGCTGAAGGAAACCTTGGATTAACGAGAACAGTCTTCTATATCAAACAGGCATCATGTCAGTTTGCAAAAAGCCTAGAAATAGTTTGTTTCTGCTGGTGTTGATAAATAGTTGATCAGCCCATGAAGCACAGCAGAGAATTAAATTTTCTGATCTGCAGAGACTGGAATAAAAGGTAAAACTCCATCAACATAGCTTATGTTATTACAGCTGGGAAACCCATGGTGGTCACTTCTGAATGACTTGTAAATCCTAGATATTTGGGATGACATTTTATTTTTGGTGATGGCTTGTGACCCTTTGCCCCTAGGGAAAAAATATTGGATATGGATATGATAAGAAATGCATATGGACCTCTTGGCCTTTATAAGAATAAAATACCAATTGCATAGCAAGATAAAAATTTTATTGGCTATATTAAAATATTTGAGAAGTAAAACATGCCTTCCAGGTATTTTCACATCAGGGATCTCAGCTCTGCTCAGTTTTTGATATGTGAAATAAAATATCCATACAATGTAGTAATAATTCCACATTGCTATTTTCCCCCTTGGCATGCCTAACAATTAGTGTCTGATTTAACATTTTGTGTCTATAAAGGTGTTGATGTCAACTGAGCTTGATCTTTTTCAAGTACTGCTTCTTGTTCCACTTTATATAAAACTCCAAAACACATTCATCTCTTAAGCAGGATCCTTGAATTATAAATATTTAGTGTTCAAAACCCAATGGACTGAAGGTGAATTTTTCTGATAAAAAAGATTTTTTTTTTTTGTATCAGCTTTAGTATTGGACACATCTTGATTATGCACCCGTAGCCATATGGCCATTCCCAAGCACTTTGGATTCTAATTATTGTGGCACTATTTTTGGGTATTTTGTTATCGGAGAATTTTATTATATAATAAAATTGGAAATTTTATTATAAATAGGATATATTTTCTTCTGCACAGAAGGTGTATTTCTCCTTGGAATTGTGCTGGAGTATCCCAGGAATCTCCAAGATGAGCTACATGGAAAAAGAGATTTATTAGAAGGGTATGATTAGTTCTTGTGGAAGAGACGACAAATTCTTTTTGCTGTGTCTGTCTTTATAGTAACAGGAACGCTGGTTTAAGGACACTGTCTGTACACAAACACAGCATTTGGGACAACTCCTAACAAAACATCCAGAGATTCGGATTTCATAACTTGCAATCTATCTCTCAAACTCACTGAGAAATCAAGATAAAAAGTATTACAAGGAAGCATTTTTTGGGACAGAGTTATTAATTTATGCATGTCTTTTCCCCTGTTAACACTCTCCTTGCCCACTTGCCAAAGAGGGAATTTAACAGCAACCAGCAGGCTCTTCTGTGGCCTTGCCTTGTGCTTTGGTCTTCTGAGAGCCAGTGAGGAAACCTGGAAAGCTTGAGCTAATTCTGCTGAAGAATTCACCTGATTCTCTGTGACAGCTTACAAGATACAGGGGTCAGATTCCCCAATTGTTCAGTGAGGGAGAGGAGTTGAAAATAACTCTGTCCAGCTGTCAGCCTCACTGGAACCATCTGAGAAACCTCGCATATTGCTTCCCCTTTGTCCTTCTCTCACTGGGTTTCCCATGGGAAAAGGAAAATCTAGCCCAAAATCCATGGATAACTTTTTTCCATTAACTTTGCTGGTTTTCATTATCTGGTAATTGATAATAAACACCTAATAAAAGTTTTTCGCATTCTTTCACAATTTCTTTGCCAAAGCAGAAAAGAGCAGAAAACTTAATAGTGAAGGGATAGGACATTGCAAGGAAATTTTTTAATATATATAAACAAAGACTTCTTCCATATAAGGATAAGAAGATTAAATTTCTTTAATAGCTGGGGAAAGGCTTGCTTGCTTTAAATAACTATAGAAACTTCCTTTGTGGTGCAGCATTCCAGAGTGAGGCCACATAATCTCTTGGTGCATGTAAATTGCTGTGTGAATTATGTTCCAGTTATGAATTTAGAACTTAACTGTGACTGACTCTAAAGGGAGGAAAAACTCTCACTTCACACAGCTATGGAAGAATTACCAGGACCTTTAGCACTGGAACTTGACATGAGTGTTGGCAATGTCAAATACTTGGATTGTTCTCAAAACAAAATGCTGGAGAAGTGGAGCTTGTTCTGCCTTTCCATGTGTCAGCCCATGTACATGGAAATTTGTGCGTGGATTCCAAAGAGCAGTACCCCAAAAAACATTTCTGATTTTCTCTTGCTTCTCCATCCTAAGCATGATGGGGGTCCCAGGGGTATGTGCCTGGTTCATTAAGCTTTTGGCTGCTGTGTCTCTTTTTCCCCCAGGACACTGTGCACATATCCCACATCCTTCCAAAGGCTATGCCTGGAAGGATGGTTTATTACCCTGCAATCAGCAATTCATTAAAGTAATATCATAATAGCTGAGATGAATATTTTCATAGTCACTTCATTTTACATTTTTCAGCTTCATTTCTCATCTGAGTGATCAGAAAGTTTGATTGGCTCTTGTTTCTTTAGTTAAGTATATGCAAACAATTAATGTAGTTTTGGTGTGTTACAGCCTTCAGCAGTGTGGAGTCAGTCTATGAAAGCACAGGTGCTGCAGCTTCTGAACACACACTTTCTAATACAACTTTGGAAAAGAACTAAATTTTGAAATACGGAACCCAGTACTTCAAATTCAGCAGAAAATAGTTCTGAAGAAAATACCTCAATAAAATCTATATCAAAAGCACATCTTGTTTTATTGTAGTTTGAAAATAATCATTTGTTGCTGATGATGGGAAGAAATTTACTGTCTCTTCCCACTTAAAAGCACTGTGTTCTAAACCATCTGCTGTGCCCTCTATGCAGATCTATGAAACTCTTGGAAAATGAAAAAACTGGGAAAATTGTACATGGACAGAGAAATCAGTAAGATTTTAAGCTGGAGCTGAAAAATATAAAATCTTTTTCAAAATATGACCTAAAATGAAAAAAAATAAAGAAATTACTGAAGCTCACTAAATCTCTATTACAGTGAGATTTGTGGCCTTACTATTTATGATAATTAATTTTCTCACTTTAATATCTAAAAATATAATCTGTTGTATCATTAAGGCTAATTTAACCCCTGTCTCAGTCTACTTGTGCAGCAGCTGACAGGGAGATTGTTATATCCATTTTTGGTGTCCATTAAAAGATCCATTTGGACACCCATAGTTGTGCTTATGACCATTTTTGTAAGACTTACCTAAAGTGGGTTTTACTGTTGCATGTTGTAGGGGGCACTGTATTGTGATTTCACATCATTTAAGCTATAAAGAGAGGAAAAATGTGTATCATTAAGATTGCAGCCACTTTGTAACTCTTACTCCTTGTCCCTGCAAATGGGAAATAATCCTTTTTATTAACTGTAGCTCATACAGTTTCAGTGCACTATATAAACTTGGCTGAATTCTGACTGTAAACTCCAGATATCAATGGGATGGAATGCTATTCTAGATTCCTTTATCTCTGCCAAGTGTTTGCCCCAAGTATAATTTCTCCCTAGAGTTTCTCTGTGTGTCTGGCTGCATACCATAAGCAATTTTACTGGATGTTTTTGGGGCCTGTCCTGCTGAGTCAATCAAAGTTCTGCTTTGTCTTCAATGGAAGAAGGAACTAGTCCTAAATTGAAAGGCTTTCCCCTGTTTGGAGACTTTTGCAGGATTATATTACCATTTTATTCAGCTGAGTTCTAGCAGGTCACTTCAGGATATTTTCATACTTGGGACCAGATGGAAAATGTCTTTTGCAATCAACAAAAAGATTCCATTGTTGACATTTCAAATTTTTTTCTACAACTGTAACTGATTTGCTTTTTACAAAATTTAACAGTGTCCAGAAATGATTACAAATACTTTGCAATGAGGTTACTTTCATGGCTCAGAGGGTATGCAGTATCGTAGAAATTCACTTTATTTTGGTCTGTTTAGATTCAGCTTGAGTAGAATCTGTTCTGATACATTATTTGACTTTCATGTGGAATAACTTTATGGTTGTTCAGTCCACTAATGAATCTATCTGAAAAACCTAATCATATCCTGGTAATTGGATTTCTCTCACAAACTCTTCCCTTCTTCACAAAATAATTAAGTTATGTGACAGAAGGCTCTCATCCATGCAGGCAAAGAATAGAGGAACAAAGGTTGGTGGGGGGAGCTACCCTATTCTTGGCAGATTGTCCTGGGTTGACTATATGATGCTTTTATCCCAAATCACCTTGCTTTGTTTATGCTGAGTAATAAGTTTTGCATCTTTAAGCCTTGTTCCAGAGAGTGAAGGGGGCAGAGAAGAAGCAGCAGTTTGTTTTCAGACACTGCACTCACTCCTCCACATTCCTGCTTCTGGGCTGTGTTGTCTGTGGATGGACAGACAGCGGGACAGAGCTCTCCTTTGCTTTTAGTTAGTTTAGCTAGCTGAGGCAAAGGAGTTCCCTGCACTGTGTTTTTCCCTTTTCTTTGGAGCTGTTTAACCTTCTCTGGCCTGAACACCCAGGGGAGCACCGGCAGCTGCACCTGAGGCCCACCGGGCCGGCCTGGCCTGCGACATTGCCAGCACTGAGGGACTGACCAGAGACTGAGTGAGCTCAGCTGCAACCCGGGGAGGGACTTTCTCAGTTTATCATAGCTTTTGGAGTGGCAAGGGGTTTTATTGTTTAATATTGTTTAGGTTTTATTGTTTAATAAACAGCTTTTTTCCACCTTTCTCCAAGGAGCTATTTTCTCCCAGACCAGTTGGGGGGAGGGCCTGATTGAATCTGCTTTCCTAGAGGAGCCCCTGTGGGGATTCTCTCCCAAATTTGCTCTGAACTAGGACACAGATGGATGAGCACCTTGATCTGCCTCTTCCAGAGGCTGTGCCAGGAGGGTGGCTGGCCCCACAGTCTGGGGGCAAGGCCCGTCCCCATGGTTCAAAGGAAAGGCTTTCCCACACCATTTTTGGACGCTGCCTTAAAAGGGCTGTGAATGGGATGCAAGGGAAAACAGTGAGAGATCATGAGGCACAAGTGTCTGGTGTGTCAGCACCTAGAGCAGCTGAGGGGCTGCATGCCAATGTGATTCCCAAAGCTACAGGAGCTCCAATCTATCCTTATGAAAAGAAAAATCTTCACAAACCCAAGGAAAATATCTGCTTGCTTTGCTGGACATCTCACCATCTACTTGAATAGACATTAGGCTAAGAAACATGGGCCCAGGTAATAGAATTGACTTATGGATTTATTAAAAAAGGTGTGGTGGGAGATTGGAGTGAAGTACAAACTTATACAATATTTTAAGGTTTGAATATGGTAATCTTTCTGAATTGTCAGTTTCTAAATCTTGAAAACCACACAGAGATTCTTGTAAAGAGACATATTTCAAAAATCTTCCTCCAGAAACAGGCAAAACAGTTTTGACTCTGCTATTTTTTTTTTTATGACTGAGGCAGGAAAGTACCACCAGCTTCACTATTCTGCTCAAATTGGTTGTCTCATTTTCAGAGTGAAACAAATGTCATCTGTTTATCAGAATTGGTTGTCTTCAGTTTGTAAAAAATAGCTAGTGTTTAGGTCTAAAATCAACAACAGTTTAAGATACTTGTTAATCAAAATCTGGATGTAAAGATAGACACTGTGTCAGGAATTTTTTTACTTTAAAGAGTAGATAAAAATTTGAAAGAGATGCTCTCACTTGAGGGATCAGGATATTAGTTTACATGTAAGAGACCTCTTGTTCTGTAACCCAGATATGTATTTTGAGCTTTTTCAAGAGGAGTCCCATGCTCTCCACTGTCAGTGTACAGAAGAAATGAATACAGGACCTCCTTACATTCTTCTGCTTCCCAGAAGACAAATGAATCCAGCAGGACAAAGCCATCTTCATGCTCAAAGTACATAACTCATCTGTCCATAATTTATCTAAACTCTGTAGTAGTGGCATAGTGTTTACTGAAACTGAAAAAAACCCTCCAAAACCACCCTCCAAAACCCTCTAAAGTTTTATTTTAAAAGACAGCTTTTGAAAAGGCAGCACATTGAAGAGTTTCAAGAAGCAGATTGCAGTTACTGCTGCAGAGGTAATTTTGCCTTACAGCACAGAGCAAGGCTCAGCCATCAGGGCCAGGACTGCAAAAGGTTCCTCAAAAGTTCCTCAAAAATGTTTTTCCCCACATGAAAAAGAGCTCACTAAAACATTGTCTAATGATTTGAAAACAACTGGAAGCAATGAAATTACTGTAGTACATTACTACATAAAAGGGTTTAAGCACTTTTTGGTTACTGCTCAAGTTTCCAAGAATTTCCATGAGAATCTTGCACAGCCACGTGCCTCAGATGGGAGATATTTCGCAACAGGCTGCAAGTGAGGGGTGGCTCTTCTCTGAAAGATGGGCAAGAGAGGGTGAGGAGCACAGAACTGGTTTTTGGAAAAGTACGATGTGGCAAATTCATTCCAGAAAACAGTGTATTTGGAGCTTAATAAAGGATTGGTAATTTTATTCTTTCTGGAGAGAAAGTGTCAGGGTTTCTTTGGTGATCACGGACTTAAAGTTTGTTTCTTGACTTGCTTTTGGAGCATTGTGATGCTTCTCTTTGAAATTGGGCAGGTGACACTGGCACAGTAGTTCTGTGACTTGTCATGTGTGACTCAGCTTGTTATGAAGAGATAAATATATCTGCTTATATTGTCTGGTGATTTATATGGCCTAAGACATTTTTATGTTGTCTTTTAAAGTTTGATCGCTCTTGAGTTTTATTTATATTTACCACAAAGGAAACGTTTGAGCGCTACATATTCAGTTGTGTTATTTTCCTGCTTATATTCTATGATGAAAGAACCAAGGAAGTTGGAAGCTTGATTTTAATGTCAGTGAGGTGTTTGCTCTGAATCAGTGAGTTACACACCTGTAGTAATGTATTTAGTGTTGATCCTTGGTGTGTATTTAAGATTATAATCCTGAGATTAATTTTGCTGAGGAAAAACAGATTAGGCAGTGACTGGGCATTTGGTTATATGGTTGAAAATAAATTTCAATTATTTATATTCTTTTTTTTAAAGTGTGTTTATTCCTCAGGTTTTTCATTCCAGTGACCCTCATACATGACTGAGCACAACATTGGCAACAGGCTGTGGCCAACAGCCACAGAGGTAATAATGCTGCCTTTTTTTTTTTGTTGTGTGAGTTTTGATCCACTCAGAGGAGAGTGCCTTATGTTCTGGAGGATTTTGAGTCCCTAATGAAGGAAAATCTGTTTTAGCTGTCCTCAGAAATTTACTTGAGAAGACAAAAGGAGTAACAGAGTCTTAATTTGTAGTCAAGATTATTTTATGCCTCCCTAGATAAGCTGTAAAATATTTATGCAGCAGATTTCTTCTTTCTGTGGCAATAAGTTTTCCATAAATATATGAATGTGTACAGTTGTACAGCACCTTGTCAGTAGTGATCCCCCAGCTAGGACTAACCTGAGCTGGCACATCCAGGGGACACAGTACTATGCCAAGAAGATATGAGCCTGATTTCTCAAAGCTGTGCAAAGCCTGAAGTGGCAATTACAAATTTCGAATAGCAATAAACAGTTTGGGCGTTGTACAGCTCGGTGTGAGTGTGCCCAGATTCTGGCTGGAGGGATAGAACATCAGTCTTTTTAGAACATAACACCATGTGCAATGGCCTAGAGGTGGTGTGTCCATCTCCTCTGATCATCTGCTGCAAACTAATCCCTGAGATGAAAAGCAGTCAACAGAACAGACAGGGACGTAGCCTAAAAAGTTTCATGATAAGTTGAAAAATAAAAAAACAACCCTTTTCTATCAAGGGGGGGGAGAAATAATTTAAATGCACAAATACATTTTTTGGGTTAAAGAAACCCCACTATTATAATAGTATTTATTTTTAAATTGTAATATAATAATAATAATAATAATAATAATAATAATAATAATAATAATAATAATAATAATAATAAAAATAATAATAATAATAATAATAATATAATTTTGGTGGTTTTTTTTTTAACCCCAATTTTGGGGGGCTTATTAATTTGAAATTTTTTAGGGCTTAGTGCATTTGTATTTATTTATGCCTCCATTTCTTTCCAAGATATGCCTCTCTTCTGGAAGCTTCCATTCCATTCCAGTCCTCCAAAAAGTAGAAAAATGTCAACAATTTAAGCATCATAATCTGTTGCTTGAGGCAGATGAAAAAGTAGAGCCAGGGGTTTACCGTCCACTCTCTGCAACATATTAACAAAAAATTGTAGGATGAAGATACTTGAAGTTCCTTACATGTATCTGGGTTAAAATGGCGCAGATATCTATTTCTATAAAATTGGATTTTTTTAATCTCAAATAAAAATATTTCTGTAAAGGATAGAAAAGGGTATATTGTAAATTTATATAGAGCATGTAAACAACATAACACTTTCACCATTACTAATTAGATTTGCTTGTTTGGCAATGAGTATTTAATTCACAAATGTATACATAATACTGGATTTGAAATATTTTCCTTAAATCCTTTTTTTGTTTTGACCCAGATATGTGTCATGGAATAAAAGATTACTTAATGTGTATCTTTTTCAGACACTATTGCAGCAACATTTATAGCTTTCACTTATGTAAGTTCTTATACTGTGCTGTGTAATAACATTGGAATTTCCAAGCTTAAAAATGAGATTTTGCAACAGTTTGTTCTTCTCTCTGGAAAAAAAAAAAAATGGGACTAGAAATTTGGACAAAATGTAATTAAAACCCATACTTTTTTTTTTTTTCTTTTATTATCTAGGTAAAGGTTTTTCTTAATCCTGATGCAATAGCATATACAAGTGTGTGTATGTTTTGGGGTGGTAAAGCTCTCTCCATAATGAATTACTGAGAGTAATTTCAGTTATTAATTTTCACTAATTAGTTGAAAGCCATACTTTTTACTTTTTCCTTTATTATCTAGGTAAAGGTTTTTCTTAATCCTGATGCAATAACATATACAAGAGTGTGTATGTTTGCAGCCTGCCTCCATGTTCTGACGTTGCTCTCAAATGATGTTGGATCCCTTCCAGGAGCAGAACACTGCAGCAGCTGGTCCCAATTACCCTAACTACAGTGTGTCTACAAGCACAAATGGCCAGTTTTCTAATTTGGCTCGCTGGTTTAATGAATTAGTTATTTAATAATTTGACAGGAGTCCTAGTGTTGTGTTTAGCTGCTTGCGTCTGTTTAATCTCCTCGTCGTGGCTGAGTTCATACAGTCCTGCTGCAATCACTGGCTGCTATTGTAAGTTATGTAGATGAGAGAGCAAAATACATTGCAACACATGGCATACAGTTGTTGTTATTTTACCTCAAAAGGCCTACAAGCTGAAAATATGTAAGTGAATCTTATCTTACTTGATAAGTTTTTTACTAACAAGAGCTATCACTTAATACAGGTAGGGGTACAGAATTTTGATCATCTTTTTCTTGTCTTAGAAATTTTAAATAAAAAATTAACATTTGAAAGACACGCATTCTACTTCCTCTTATACATTTATTTACTTCATGGGATATATTTTCTGAGGCTTCTAGAGAGCTGCAGAAAAATGTACCTGTGTGAGCACAGATAGGAGCTTGCTCATGCAGGGGGTGTGGAACGATGCACAGCTCTCACAGTGGCATTAGGAAGCATCAGTGTCTGCACAAATGAGAGAAAGTGCACATGCTACGAGCACACAACATAAACCTGCAAAGGAATGGTCCCAAATATATTGAAAATTAGAATATTCGCCTATTTTCTCTCAACACTTTGCTTATAATAAATCACCAGGAGGTTATAGTTACCAAGCAACCAAAACCTGTTCATTCACAGTGCATATTATGAATTCCTGCTGACTGGTAGGGAGGAGGAGGAATTGAAGGATGCAGCTTGGGGAGAGTGAGGGAGAAAAACTGTTTTGAAATAAGAATTTTTTTACATGTCACAGTGGTATCAAAGGAAGCAGCCAATTCACATTCCTTTTGCATTGTATTGCAATGAAAACACTCGTTCAGGAAGGCTCCAGTGATTCTCTGTCTACAAAAAGCCTTGAGGGAATTGAGAGTGGGGTGGGGAGGGGTGTTTATCTGTACTTACTCAGTGTCTTCTGCGGCCTGGGACTCTGGGTGGGTTCCTGTTCCCCCAGTACCATAAAGTGAGAAAAACAGAGCAGGGAAACTGAGAGTCATGAGGGGGCTGAACAAGACTTTTACTGGACTAGGCTGGTTTGACACCATTTACTGATATAGGACTTTCAAGATTATCAAAATCTTGAAAGATTATCAAAATTCACTTGAACATAAGGAATTTGCTGATAAAAGATTGAAGTAGGTTGATTAAATGATATCATGGCTTCATGGCATGTAGTTCTTGTGATCACGTTCACAAAATGTCATTTGAATGATGAAGCTTGAATTTAATGTCTCTTCATTTTATCTCTAAAATGAAGAGACACTAAAGATGTTGTGCAGCATGAAAGACACATTTGGTGTAAACTATGAGCTGGAAGCCCAGAAAAGTCAATGGCAAACTGAATAATAGACCACATCACAATCCAAAACCAGCTGAGAATTGGTTGTAACAAGGAAGAAAATTATTTCGTCAGCAACAATTTTTTTCTCTAAAGAAAATACATAACTATAGTCTAACTGAATATGCCACAATACTACTACTACTAGTAATACTACTCCTACTACTATTAATAATAATAATAAGTACTTACCCAGCAGTAAAAATGATCAATTATTCCCATGATAGAATTAGGACAAATTTTTTTATTTATTTCCAGTCTTCCAAATGCTTACAAAAGGTGCAGATAATTTTAGATTCCTTTCAACTTTCTCTAGTGCTCAGTGGAAAACAAATACTTACTTATCTCGAATTAAGTATAGATTATATATTTAATACTTACCTCGAATTAACTATAGATTATGGAGGTATTCAAGGCCAGGCTGGGGCTATGGGTAAAGTGGTCTGGAAGGTGCCCCTGCTGTCAGAGACTGAAATGTTTCATGACTTAAACATTGTTATGGAGGAGTTTTGCCCATTATAGCAAAATTATCTGTATAAAAATATTGATCCTTAGGATCCTTTGTTTTTTGGGGAGACTCTCACAACCTCAAGGACCAGCTGGAAAGGATCAACAGAACATCACTGGGATCCATAGATCCAAAATATCCCAGTGATATTTTCTTCAATACATCTCTTTCACTATCTGCCCCTCACATCTTTTCTGTTTCTTTCTCTTCCTTTTTCTCTATTTTTTTTTCCTCTCTCTCCCTCTCATATTTAGTATTAGATAAACCCCACTGCATTGACTTTGGCATATGGTCTCATTTGCATCTTAATTCAAACAGAGGCATTTCTAAAAATTTTAAAAACTGGACCATAGCACCTGCCCATGGCAGGGGGTTGGAACCAGATGATCTTTAAAGTCCTTCTGACCTAAAACATTCTGTGATTAATCTATCAACATCATGTAGCACATCACACCACAGTCTGAGGGGCCTGATGCTCATGGCACAGGAAGCTCACAAAGTCTGTTTGCAAATTCTCTTCTTTCCATTGTAATAATGTTGTCAGCAAAGATTCATATAGAAAATAAGTGACTTATAGTAATATCCATATAAATGAGATTTATCAGAGCCCTGAAACTAATATTGAAACTGTTGCTCTATTGACCCTCCATTTCTGTGTAAACATTGAAAGAAATTCAAGACTTATAAAACGGACATAAAATGATATAATTTCAGACTAACTGGCCTTAGGAACAAGACATAAAATGCAATCTAAAGAATTTTATTGGTGAGGCCCTATATTCCTTTTAGGATAAAAGAAAAACTCATATTAAAGTGTCACATAAGTGAGATATTTCTAGAGGAATTAAAATAATGAATTAGAGCTACATGCTAAGAAGAATTTGATTAGAAACAAGTTTTTTGGTTTTTTTCAAGGTAAACACATGGTTGCAGCAACTGTTTTCTTTTTGAACAGGACAGAAAGTTATTTTGAACATGTGGACTTTATTGTGGTGGAAAAGTTAATTTTTACTCAATGTTAATTGGCCCACTTGTCACTGAATTCAAAGCAGGACTTATTGACCATGGTGTGATCAGATGTGTTCAGATAATCTACATTTTTATTTGACTAAGATGCAAAAGCATATTTCTTGTGTCTTTAGCATAAACATAAAATTGTCTTAAATACAGTGCCCTCTTTCAGTTTTACTAGCTCTTGCTTAAATGCATATGAAATAAACCCAACTGTAAAATAAAAATGATGAAACAGCATATTATCCAGACATCAACACTAGAACATCTAACCATGATTACCCAGATAAGAAGTTTAAATTCAGTGGTTATTGCTATAATTCAATCCTATGCTAGCAATTCCTTGGGAAGAATTCAAATCAGGCTACAAGGATGTTAGTAGAAAAGAAAGTTACCTGAATTTTAAGGACTTGCTAATAATTTGTAATTATTAGCCATAGTTACAAAATATTTGTAATTACAGGAAAATTTTCAATGGAGGGCACTTAATGTTGATTTTTAAAGTTATGGATTGTATGGAGCTGCACACATAAATATATATCACATAAAATTATCAAAAAAAGTCATAGGTTAAAAACTGGATACTTTCCTACTATAGGGAATTCTTGTGGAATTTAGTAATTCAATGTAATAATTTGTAAGTTCCTAGTAGAAGATGCTTATTCTTTTGAAAGAAAACAAAACATCTTTCAGAAAGTCTCATATTGCGTTTGTGAAAAGTCAATGGTAAATTTAATGACAAAGTAAGACTGAATTATGCTGAACAGAATTTAGGGAAATAATTGCTGAGCTACCATCAGTTTTATTAGATCTGGCTACCAATATTTCACTGGGCAAATTATAGAATTTAACTTACTCAGTGACTTCAAAAAGCTAAAGTTTGTCCTGTTTTGTGGCCCTTTTTTAAAAAAGAGGATCCCAAAAAATAGCTTAAGAATTAACTTTTTTTTACTTTTACTTTAGTCTATTCAGAATTAAGCTTCTAAATGAAGTGAAACATTTTTTAAAAATCCAAAATTTAAAACACAGGTTAGAATAGAACACCTCAATTTATATTGTGTATCCATGTGTAACAGCCTAAGTTCTTGCAATGTCTGCAGTGATATTCAATTAATAATTGACAAAAAACCCCATGCATGTGATTCAAAATAGTGGCATGTTTCCATTGATCTCAAATCAAGCATGAAAAATATTGATTTTCTTTTTGGTAGACTCAAATCTGAGATAAAAGCACTTAAGATTTTCATTCAAATCAGAAAAGCTAGAGATGAGGAAAAATGGCTTTGCCCTATATGTACTGTGTGTAATGGATGTATCTCCTGATATGATTTCACATTTACAGGTGGTTTAAAATGGTTTGAATTCTGTACTGCTGGCCTTTCAGTGATGCTTCTTTCAGTATTCTCTAGTACAGGTCACTTGCCTTGCTTATAAAAATAACTGTTCAGGTATCTTTCTTGGTTACCTCAGCTTATAAAAAGAACATTAATTTGCTATTCTGCTGCTAGCTTCAGATACTCATGAAATCCATGGATTGCAGCTTTGGAAATACTGCCAATATTGGTGCTTGCTAGGATCCTTAATTTCTGCTACCTTGTTCTTATTACTTCCAAAATTATTTCTCTATATTTCTTCTGGACCTTTAAAGGTGCTTTCTGTTTGTTTCTTAATAAGACAGGACCAGACAAACATTTTTATTGGGAAAGACCTCTGTGATCATTGCAAGATCAACCTATTTCAAGTCACCACCTTGTCCACCAGACAGTGGCACTCAGTGCCACATCCAGTCTTCTGTTAGACACCTCCAGGGATGGTGACTGCACCATTTCCCTTGGGCAGCCCATTCCAGTGTTCAACCACGCTTTCTTTGTGATAGAATCACTCCTGATGTCAAACCTGAACTTCCCCTGGCACAGCTTGAGGCCATTTCCTCTCTGAAATAAATTAATACAAAGCATTAGCGAAATAGTCACTGGGGTTTGAGTGTAGCTTATTTAAGATGCAACACCTCACTTGTACGTTTACTTGCCCCTTTCCCTCCATTGTTCCAGGTACTAAATGGTCATTCAGAGATTGACTGAATTGGCCTGGGTTGTTGCATTAATAGATAACTAATAGGACTCAGTTTCTTCATGCAGAAAAGCCAATTCTTTTTCACAAGGCTCATATTTATAGGAAATGTTAGAAGGCACTGTGCTAGACTAAATTGGCTAACAATACACTGGCATTCAGTTTATTGGTGGGTAAATGGCCAGGTTGTGCATCTGTCAAATCTCTCTATATTTGATTAGTTTACATATTTTCTTCATGGATTCTCATGTGACAGATCTGTTGTTTATTGAAGGGGCAAACGGTTCTCCTACCAGAATAGTTTGTTGTGTTAACTGCCTTCATTCTTATGATTTCTCACATGGGAAGTTATCTAGCTGCACTTGGAAGAAGTAACAGGCCAGCTGGTAATTTAGCAGAGCAGGGCCTGATAAGGCCTTTCTTTTATAATATCTCTACATCTATGCCACACTGGGTTATAGAGAAAGATTTTCTGCTACTACTGTGGTATTGCTTAAAAAGCCATAGTCATTTCTACCTTTTAAATTAATTGTATTATGCAGGAGGCATTTTTGACAGGACCCCTGAAAAAAAATGAGTGTAAAACAATGCAGAAGGAGCAATACCTCCTGACACTGCTGTCATAAATATTGAAGTTTTTAGATACAGGTTTCTAGCACCATTTTAGATTTCCAGGGTATTCCACCTGGCTGCCAGATGTTGTTCTAGATATAATGTTCTTGGTTCTCTGCCATGTTTTCCTCTATGCTGAGGTCTAGAAGAAGCTACAACATCTCAAACAGCACAAAACACCTATATTTAAGGAGATAAGTTGCTCCTATGCATATTGATACCCTCCTTTTTAACAGATGGATGGATGGATGGATGGATGGATGGATGGATGGATGGATGGATGGATGGATGGATAGATAGATAGATAGATAGCTTATTGCACATCAAAGTCTGTGGTCAGTCTCCTAACCTCCCTATAAAAAACATAAGCAACGTTGACCTCCTGTGAGCTTAGCTAAAGATAGTCCCCAAATTTGCAGGGGCAAACTGTGAAAAAAGAGATCATCTGTGGCTCTTCCAAGTGAAAAGAAAATGCTGTTGCTCTTATAATGAATTTAAATTCTTCGGAGCATCATCTCTCACCACAGTTTGGTCCTCTGTCAAAACAAGAAGGCAGTAAGGTCTAGAGATATAACATAGCCCCAGATCTGAATTTTCATCTCCTGAATGGTTTTCTGGTTTCTTCCAAAATCATTCTCGTAACAATCTCATTTGGGAATAATGAAAAACAAAACAACTGGAATGTGGTACTTTATCCAAATTGCCAAAGCCCAATACACTGGTATTTGGAGATCTGCTTTGCACTTACCTCTGTGTTAGCTTTGAGTTCCCACTTGCTTTTGGAAGGAATTGTTTCCCGAAGATTGCAGCGATTGAGGGATGTCGACCGTGCTCTGCAAGCAAAGCCAGTTTATGACACTAATCACCAGTATTTACAGTTCTCTAATGTCCTTACAGAATTTTCCACTGGGACCCCTTTGCCTCTGTTCCCTTAGCAACGCAATCTTTTTGGTTATCAAGCCTCTGTTCCATTCTTTTGTGCCAGCAATGTCCTTGTTACATCTTCTCTCATCAGCAGGGTCAGAGTGACCAGACGTAATGTCCCCACTTTTGCTCTTGCCTTGAGTTTTCCTCTGCCATGGATTGCACTGTGCCGGGGCCAGGAGGTCTGTGGCACTGCCCAGCTCAGCTTCTGTGCCTGTCTAATCTTCCACAGCAGATCAGAGGGCTCATTAAACATAAGTATAATGAATGAAACCTTAATGATTGTTAATAAAGAGGTGACATTAATTATCCCTTTTCAGGACTGTCTGTAAGATGAGAAAGACTAACTTGAGATATCCTTTAGATTCTATCATACATCGGATAATACCTGTTTTCAGTTCTGTTAGGACACAATTGCCACCCATTCCATTATCTGCTGCCCAAATATCAGGAGAGAACAAGCCTCTCCATGCAATATTCAGATCTGTGAGAAGAGAAGGAAATGAAATCCTGTTGCTGTGCTAGTGGCATCTTGCCTTCTAAAGAGATGATGAGTGCACCTCGTTTGAAAATGTCATGTGTATATTTCTGGGTGATTAGTGATACCTGTGTCAGCACTGCTGCAGCAGGGAGCCTCATAGCTCAGGAAAATTGGGGAAAAAATGCAGAACATAATTTTTCTTTATAAATTCTGCTAAATATGCAAGTCCAAACATTTCCTGCTTTTCTCCAAAATGTATGTACTTTTCCCAAGACATAGCTTTAAAAGAGCAGCTAAATATCTTTTATCTTTATAAAACTCTCCTAATGAACTACTCTTCAATGTAGCTATGAAATTTTGCCAATAATGTGCCTTTTTCCTTGGTGTGCATACCTTTATACCAATATAGTAACTATCATGTGCTGCAAATCAAACTATGTTCAAAATTTGTTTATTCATCAGAATAAAATTAGAATGTTACTTCATGTTACTTCTAATACTTTTTCTCTGCTACATTCTCTGGAACTTATTAGTTTTTTATTTCTGAGGTATTTCCTGAAAAAAGGAGGTAGAGCTATGACACTTCAGAAAATGTGCTTTCTTTCTAGCTAAATACATACTATTTGTGAATAATTGGGCCAGTATGGCAGAGATAACTTTGTAACTCTGGCTTGAGAAAATATGAAAATAAGAGAAGTTCTCAGGGTTTCACTGGCACTTCAGGATATGTGTCAGTGGTGGTGGTGTGTGCATGGATGGTATTTTTTAAATTGAGATGTCCAGAAAAGAATGTGAATTTGCAATAATGGCTCAAAGAAACAGTCTCCGATTTCAGCTTTTACTGCAATAATTTCATGATTAATTTGTTCTTGACCTGCTTCTGCTTCTTTTCATCATTGTGTCCACTATCTGAACATTTGAATGTCCAGAGAAGGTCTTAAAGGCAATTCTGCTCAGTGAGTATTAGGCTTATCAGATAAAACCTTCCCACTACATGTTACATGAAATGCAATATTCTTTACAACAGCTCTTCCTCAGAACCATGAGCAGAAGAAAAAAAATATGATCTGGGCAAGGATCTGAAAATACCCATTATAGTCAGGACAGTGCATCCATAGGCAGTTGTTTGCCATCAGGGAAAATTAAATTCTGCACATAATACAGGTTCAGAACTTGTAACCATGAATTTTTGCCAGATAGCAAGTCCCTTACAGCTCAGAACTGAAATTCTTCTTGTTCCTTAAGATGCATTACTGCTCTAGAGCTGCTGCCTGTCAACACAGGTTGAGACCCCAAATTACTTTATCTTCTTATTCTAATTCTTACTCCTGTAATCAAAGGAAAACAACATTTCACATAGCCTATATGAACAGCTATGAACAGTCACATTTAAAAAAGGGAGCTGAAATATTAAACATTTGAATGTCAGATGCTTACAGCAAACGCTTGTTTTCAGTCCAAAGATAAAAAAAGCACATAAAAGGCTATGCCAAATTCAAGTAACTTAAAAAATATTTTAAAACATTCCACTAACAGAATGAGGCATTTGGTTTTAATTTTATGCATAACCAGATGTGTATTGAGCAAGACTGAATCCACTTAAATATAAAAAAAATGCAGCACTAGGGCTTTTGAGACAAAATTATGGAGCCCATGTAAAATTTTCTTTCAGTTCTGTGTGCATAACATTTCAAGTCTCTCTGTATAATTTATAGTATATACCCTGTTTTTAATTTATCTAAACACAAGGTCTGTTTCATAAACATCAAAGATAATGAAAATGCCTTTTTAATTAATCTGCTGGAATCTACATGTTTACTCCACATTAACTTCCTTTATTTGTCAATCTCACACATGAGAAGTGACCCCTCCTGTGCTGTCTCTGCTTAATGTCAAAGCTGTGGGGAATAATGTTTATAACATCAGCTGCATTCTCTCACTGATGTCTGGCAATTAACGCTGCATCTGGAATCAGAAAACTTCAAAATGTCGTTCACTACTACCTGTCTGGGTGGCAGGGAGGAAATGGAAAAAAGTTTTTTTTTTTTATTCTTGTCACATCTAGTTGCAGGATTTACTAGCAACACACCTTGTTCCAGTTTCATGGAGTCAGATTGTGCCAAAGCTGCTGGTCTGTTTTCAGAGGAATTTTTACAGCTCCTGAGAGAAATAGCTGGGAGTAATAGAATCTTATTAGAAATGAATCTGTTAACAGCTAGGAAAAAAATTGATACAGCCGGGGAGACCTGTGGTGTCATACTTAAAATTTCAAGCATGGTAGGTAAAATTATGACTAAGAGGAGGGAAAATATATTAAAAGAAAATTCTTCTAATTCAAAGCTTATCTCCTCATGATTTTCCCCATCTTATGCTTTTACTGATAGTTCCCATCATGGGGCTGTTAGACCAGGGAATGAACCTCTCTTTCAAGTCACTTTATGGTCAAGCCTCAGTGTATCTTAGGTAATCCATGAAATGGGATAGGAGATTTCATACTTCCCTGCTACAGCTTGGCAGAAAGCATTTTACCCGTCTGGACCAAACCTGAAGAACTGAGGCATTGAGAAAAGCTAAAAAAGAAAAAAGACGGTGCTTGGATGTCACATGAATGAAGCAGTTGAGTTTGTCACTATCCAGAACATCAGGAAAATGTTGAATCTCTTTTCTCTTGTCATTAATGTCCTTGGGTTTGCACAACTAGCCCTGGCATTCAAGGTGTAAAAACAATATTTCTAATCCAAAAGACACATTGCTGTGATGGTGGTAGGTAATCTAGCATGCCTTTGGTAGGTCAAGAGATTGTCTATTTCTCCAGCTAAATATTTTCAGTTTTAACTAACGGTGTCAAGCCCTCCCCCCCCAAAGATTACATTTTTCTGCATATAATACTTAAACACAAAAAGCAACACAGTTATGTAGTTTTGGTAAAAGAAAATGGAAGTAACAGTTATCCCTTGTGCTCTTGAAAAATGTACATTGACATTTTCCCAAAATAGATAGATATAGATGTAAATATATATGTAGATGATAAATATAGATGATTTAGATATATAGATATAGATATAGATATAGATATAGATATAGATATAGATATAGATATAGATATAGATAGATATAGAAGGAAATGGAGGCTAGTTTTCAAAGAGATGCTTAACTTTTGGTGGAATTCAAGAGGATTTCAGTAATCTATGGCTGATATGTACAAGACCACTGATGGTTCTAGAGCCTGAAGCTGCTTTCATCTTTAAAAGTGCAGGCATTAATGGTACTTCCAATCAAAATATTAAATATCTTCATATCCAAGATTCTGGGTTTGGGCAAGGATATTTCCTTTATCTTGATTTGAAATGATGCTTAGATTTGCCATAACATGATTCAAAAAAAAACCCAAAACTGAAATTGTGCAAGACCCATAGTTAAATGCAATACAAATGTTAAAGTGTAAAAAAAAAAAAAGTAAAAAAACCAGATGACGGAATTCTGGATCCCTAAGCAGCCCCAACTGCTGTTCTGCTGATAAAATATCCACACCCTGCTGAGTGGACATGAGCTATGTAAACAGATGTTCTTAAAGAGACAAGGAAGTGTTGAATAGCTGACTTATTTTGTTGCAGTTCTGCTCTGCCTGACAGTTCAGGGTTTAAAGGGTGTTGCCATGACCAGCAAATCCAGCCAGGCTTGAAGTGCAGCTAAATCCAACAGAAACTCTCACCTTTACTCTTTTGCCCTCTAGACGGCTGCAGGTCAATAGTTATTTTCTGAGTTATTTGGGAATAATCAGAAAAGCATGTGCAAATATTGAAAGATTGAATTTATATATCTGGAACTGATTCAGGTGTTTAAAAAATTTGTTGTTATTATTATTATTATTATTACTATTAATATTACTATTATTACTATTTAAAATGGGAATTTGGCAAATCTTGCTGACTTCTGAGGCACAAGGAAAAAAACAGGATATTTATTATTTAGTCAATCAATAATGCTGTACTTTTCTACAACTTTGGAGTAATAAAATGTAGTGCTGCTTTATAAATATAACAGACACTGCTTTGCTTACTTGCCAAAATTAGGATTTACTTCAGCTTGAAAACAGATTCCATTTTTTCCTGTAGAAAAAAATGTAGCCTGCTTTTAAGAGAAGGCCAATCAAGTTACAAACATGCTTAGTCTAAATAATTCATAAATACAGCAAGCCTTATCATGGGCAGCCCTTACCCATAGTCCAATGTGGAAGTGCTGTATCTCCCTGACCCTTACAGCAGAATTCAGTCCTGCCTTTTTTTTTGTTTAACTGAGGGAGTTGCAGCAGTGCAGCATGTATTCATTGTGCCACACAAAGCCACTCAGGAGTGCATTTCAGGCAGCTCAAAGTCTCGGGGAGGGCGAGGGCCAGACAAAGCCCAAGCTGCGCTTTGAATACAAATGCTGAAAACTTTGTCAGCGTTTTAAAATTAAGTTTCTACCATTCATATGTTAAGGCTTTAGGGAGATGAATTAGGACAGCTGAGAAGCTGATTACAGCCTCATGCTGCATTTTTTTCACTTTGCTGTTCACATAGGCAAGCTGACATGGCCCCTTACTGAAATACTTCTATCTCGTGATACATGTATCAAAAACGAATGGATAGGATGGTTGATTTTGTGCCTTTCTTGTTCTGCCACATGCTTTTACTTTGAACCACATGTCATTAATAGAGCTAATGGGATTTTGGCGTGGAACCAAAGGGGTGGGAGGGGAGAGGGGGCTGGGGGGAGATGGATGGGAGCGAGATGAACTACAGAGAGAAGCACTGCTGCCTTTCTCTGCACTAAAGCAACGTCAGGTTTATTAGACTTCCCTTTAGTCCTTCCTGACAGGACTGGAGGCACTTCTCTATGCTTGTGTGTCTCATGCATTCATGAGCCTCTTTGACACTATTGCATCTTTTGTTAGAGCTGAAAATGCAGATCATTGCTCTGCCCTTCCTTCAGCTGCCATATGGCATTGTGGAAG